AAAAAAAACTATAAATATATTTATTGATTATTGATTTATATTTTGATTCGAGCATGAAAATTTTAATTTTGGAACGATGGATTCTTGTTTTTTACCATAAAAATCTCTTAATATATGCGCGTATTTTTTTACAAATGTAATTTACAAACTTATAATTTAAATGTGCATGGTTGTTTATGTTTTTTTTTAAAAAAAAAAAAGGGCAAGCAAATCACTTTTGCTTTATTTGGAGAGAAATAAACGGTTAAACAGCAAATAACAAACCAACAAAACGTTAAAATTAAATAAACTAACTATTAATAAATTTCGTCTGCCGCTTAATTATTGCTACGCCGATTTGTTTTGACAATAAGGACAGCTTACTTGCTGAATCTCCCAAAAAATCGTTGGTTAATAATAATAATAATAATAATAATAATAATAATAAAACTAGTACGATTTATTTATTGTTTACATCAACAACAGAGGCTTTATGTGTGCTACATGGTAATTTAATAACGCATGTAAGTGGTAAATTGTTATGTAATGTAATGAGTATCCTGTTTGTCACTTTTGATAAATTGATGTTCATACACACAATTGCAATAAAACCTTCAACAGGGTCAAATGAATATATGATTATGTAGTTGGTTTTTTTTTTTGGGCAGAATTTAACAAAACATAAACCATTTTTCCTGCGACTTCATGGATGTGCCTGGCTTATGATTTCCATTATGATGTTTTATGGAAATCCACTTTGGCACATTTGATTGTTTCGAAATAACAAAAAAAAAAAATACTGAGATAGGCAAGGTGAAGACGATCTCGCATTAGTATCTAATGTATGCAAAATTTTTAATAAAAATATTTAATATAATTAAAAATTTTTCATGGGCTAAAAAAAAACCCGTTTTTTTTTTTCGTTTTAGTAACAAGATTTTCGATTGACATGAACTAAAAAGCAAAATATCATGAGCAAGAGGCATAACCTCACATCTTCTCATACCACTTTTTCAAAGACATTATTCTTTTTCAATCACAATGGTCGGTCAAAACTTGTTTATTTTCACGCTTACCTTTACGAATTGTACCTCTTTCGCCTTTTTCTTCTTCAATCAAAGAACCGAATTTCGGTAAACAAATATCTGTCTAGTACAAATTAATCCACTAACCTATTCATGGCATCTCTTTGCACCCGATATATTATTTGACACATCCCCTTGTTCGTATGAACCCTACGCCATCACTACAATAGACTCAAATATTTCCTTTATATAAAAAATTTTTTTTTGATGGATCACCTTTTTTTTTTCAGATCATTTTCACGAGTGTATGGTAATATTTTTAGATCTTTATTAGTTATAGGTTTAGGTAATTTCTTTATGAAATCAGTCGAATTTTAAAGTTTTGCCTAGAACATTCAAACAACATACGTATTCGATCACTACTTAAAAACCCTACGAACGTATGAAATTAACGGAAACTAAAATGACAATACGTCCCTTCTGATTATGATTTGCCCAATTAGGCACAATCTTAAATATAATTTGTCGTATAGCAATCTAATGGCTTGTTCGCTCAGAAATCCACATATAGAAGATAGGGCTTTATAAATATATAAATATATCTTTTAATGATAAATTACCTATTGGTGGTTCTTTGGTTAATTATTTTTGGTTAATAAAATTATCAGAAAGGAAAGGATGTGTAAATTTTTTTTTCGGCGGATGTCTCGTGCCATTTTTCCTTGATCTTTTTTTTTTCCTTAAAACAATTGTCGGTTATGCAAGTACCATATCTAGCATAGCGTTTTTTTTTTTTTTTTTTTTACCCTTTAGAAAAATATGTTCTTATTGTAGTTTTTAAGGCTGCAACGAGATGCGACTATAGCTGCAACTACTACTGCAACTACAATAGATGTTCATTTTGCGGTAGATTTTCAATAAATATTTGTTTTATCGGTTTTAAAAAGGTTCAGGTATATTCTACATTACAGCTCTTTACAGATTTTCCAACTCTTAAACTTTATTACACACTTTTCGACAGTAGAATGAATCCCTTTTTTTTTTTATTAAAAAAAAAAAAAGAAGGGACAAGGGAATGATTATTAAACGCTCTCTCGCTTTTTTGTCGGACCTCTCATTTACGAGAAAAAAAGAAAGAACTTACAAATGAAGAATAAATTAAAATAAAATTATTATTTTTTTTTTTTTTTTTGGTGAGGAGAATTCCGCCTTTCGCCATTTTTTTTTTTTTTTTTTAAAAAAAGATCAAATCAAGTAAATCAATAAAAAAGAATTATAATTTGAAGATTGTAGTAGATAATATAAGTTAAATGTTAAACTTCTGTAATAAAATATTTAATGTATAAAAAAAAATAATAAAAATAAAAAAAAAAATAAAAAACCAAATTAGTATTAATCGACGCTTGAATAATTGGAGTTTGAAACACAAGAAAAAAAAAACAAATTCTGTTGCAACAGGAAATGGACGAAAAAGGACAAATGGATTTTTTTTTTTGCTACTATTTTTTTTTGTAAAAAATGAAATGAAAGTTGAGAACACAATCACAAACGAAGTGGACACGAACACAAAAAAAATTTTAGATGTGTAAGGGAAAAAAAAAAAAAAAGGTCAAGAAAATTTATTATTATATGTTTTTGTTTGTATATATATTTTGTTTTTTTTGTAGTAAAAATATCACCTTGACAATTGGTCCAGGTTACATTGACCCTCTTTTCAATAACTGGCACCAATTGAAAATAACCTCCTTCTTATATGAAACTCCTTCTTGCAAATTATGTTGAAATCATTTGTTGGTTCAAAAAAAAAAAATCTTTTATTTATAACATAATTTAATTATTATATTAAATCGGTTCACTTTTAACCCCTTTTTTTTTCTCCAGCTTTTTCCCAATATTTTACTTTTTTTATATTTCTTTTATTTCTTTTGATTACTCTAACTCTCCTACTCTAATTTTTAATATATTGTTGAAGTAACCACATTATAAACAAACATAAATAATAACCAAATATATTACATTACATTATATAATTATTTTATTGGCGACACCTCTTTGTCAACACATCCCTTTCGTAGAATATAAATTATAGACTTTCTTGCATCTCCTTTTCCAAACCCCCTTCTTTTCTTTTCTCTATACATAAAAAAATATTGTACAGAATACTGGTGAATATAATTTTACATTTATATATATATATTCGTTCCCTCTGTTACCCGGGCTATTTTCTTCAATCGAATCAAAAATATATTTTATTTAAAAAAAATTAATAAATACACAGGCAAAAGAACGAAAAACGCTTTTGTCTGCCAAAAAGAAAGATTATTCTTCTCTTTTTTACAAAAAAAAAAAAAAACCAAAATTCTTTTCTTTTCAATTCTTGTTTGATAATAATAATATTTAATCTTTTTCTTTTAATTCTCTTAATTCCAAAGAATCTCGTGTTGATTTCTTTTTTTTTTTTTTTTTTCTTTCTCCTGTATACTATTACAATTTTATAGACCTCTTAATAGAACTTATAGAACGCTACTGCTATAAAAGACGAGCAAAAGCACAAGAGAATTTTATAAATATATATACATACATACTAATTTCTTAGAGGAAAAAAAAAAAAAATAAAAAAAAATAAATCGAATCTTTTTTTTTTTTTCTTTCTTTCTTTATCATCCATAAACTGTCTTATAGAATTTTTATTATACAATCAAAATCTTTTCACACGCCAATTATTAAAAGAAGATTAACCATTTTATAATTTCCCATATTCAAAACCTTTTTTTTTTTTTTTTTCCGAATAATAATATAATCAAATCAAACTTTCTTCGTCCCTATATAATAAGCATCCCTTCTTGAAAATTAATCATAATTCAAATACAAAAGGAACAATAATCTTTTTTTGAAGACAAACCAAAGGGAAAAGCAAAAGAGACTGTTTCAACAGTAACACATCCCCAAAAAAGAACAGCAAGACTTTGGTCCTACCTCATTCTATTTTCGGTACGTATTTTTTTTTCTTATCTTCTGTATTTGGTTTGTTCACAGTTTATTATTTTGCACTACACAATAATTCTTTTATTATAGAAAGATTTTTTGATTTTGATTTATATTATATATATATATATATAATATTTATTATTATTATATATAATTATCATTCTGTTTTTTTTTAAAAAAAAGAAAATTTTCCCTTCCATTTTATCTTATTATATCCCTTTCCACTCGTTCCTTTACTCTTTTTCAACTCTTGTCACTCTTTAAAAAAAAAAAAAAATCGGTGGAAAATCAAATCTACTTTTTTTTTTTTAATTTTACTTGTGTTTGTGTTGTACGTGTTCAAACTTGTGTGTATTTTACGTTGCTGCTTAAACCGATTCTTGTCTCTTCCTTAACTCACTTATTTAGCTATTTTGCTCGCAGCCTTTATCGAAATATATATATTTTTTTCTTAAAATATATTTGTGACCTATTACTTCCAATAATAATAACGAATTCTATTATTTATTTATATTTAGAGTATTCTAGACCATATCGAACCTCCTCGAACAGGAAAACTTATCTATCGGGTCTTATCACTTTTGGTATATATCATATTTTTTTAAACTACTATAAACCCCTTATTATATATATAATTCCCTTCTATAGTTTTTTTTTATAATTATTACCATATACACCGTCCAATCCTATTACAAAAAAAAAAAAAAAAAAAAAAAAAAAATTCAATTTTCTCACGCCACCCCTCAAAAATCCTCCTGCCTACCTGAACTGAACCAACCAACCAAATATCATTGAAACTCCAGAAAACAACAAAAATATCTTTTATCCCAAAACAAGTTGTTGAAAAAAAAAATACATATATATATATATAAATATATAAAAAACATACAAAAACAGATTGGCGGTACATACAGACGCTTACATAGACATACGCGACATACTTTTCATTTATGGCTGGTTTCCAGAATTCAAATAAGCTTTATACCGATTCATCTAACACCAATACTGCATTAACAACTGCCAGCGCTCATTACAAACAAACGAAACAACACCACCCTACCACGCCGACTTCTCCGGCTCCTACACTCTCTAACAACACGACGACGACGCCAGGCAATAAAACCGAATCTCGAATTACCTCTTCGAACTCCACTACCTCCACCACGACGACAAATACTCAAACCTCGAATAATACCTCCTCCAGCAACCCAAACTCACCCGCTGGTTCACGTTCATTAACCTCGACCGCTACTCAAACAAGTCCTGCTTCCTTGCCTCACTCCGCCTTTTCTCCATATAATCAAATTCCACAGCAACACCCTACTCCTGTGACAACTCCTACTGCGACAAAGAACTCCATTTCTTCACAACAAGAACCTTCCACTATGATGACTACTTCTCATTTGGACAACAGCGGCAGCACCACCTTGATCTACCCACCTCACACACATTTCGCAAACCCTACCTCACACCCATTTTGGCCGCCAAACCAGTGGGGTTTCAATGGTGCGAATGGTACCGCGGTTTTATCGGCTAATGGTGGAAGCGCTTTTGTTCCTGCTGTAGGTTACAGCCCTGCGGCTTCAAATATTGCTCCAGGTCATGCCCCAAGACCAAAGCTTACTACAACCATATGGGAAGACGAGGGAACGTTGTGTTATCAAGTTGATGCTAGAGGCATCTGTGTGGCGAGACGACAAGGTACCGTGTTTTTTTTTTAACATGATGATCACGCGGACTTTCCACAATTCCTGAAACTAAACCCTTTCTCCCTTTATTTCCCTTCCTCCCACATTACATCACGCGTCTTTCTTATGATCATCATCATGACTTGTTTGATCCTCTTTTTTTTGGTTTTTTTTTTTAAAAAAAAAATAGATAATGATATGATCAATGGAACAAAACTTTTAAATGTCGTCGGCATGTCACGTGGTAAACGTGATGGTATCTTAAAGAACGAGAAAGGAAGAGTGGTGGTCAAAGTTGGAGCAATGCATCTTAAAGGTGTTTGGTAAGCGCGTTTTCCCCTTTTATCTTGATAGATTCTTTTCTCGCGATTCTCATCTTTACGATCAATCTTCAAACATTCTCACGCTTCCCTCTTTCTTTTTTTTCATGAAACATAGGATTACTTTTCAACGCGCAAAGACTCTTGCGGCCCAATTCAAGATCAGTGAATTGCTTTACCCATTGTTCGTGGATGATCCCAGTATCTTCTTACACAATTCATATGGTCCTCCAATGTCCACAAGAATCCCATCGATAGGTGGAGGTCCTACATCACAATGGAGACCCACCCATCCATATGCCAATAATTTTAACAATGCAGCTCCATACTCGGAAACTACTCGACAGTGGTACCCTTATGGAAATGGAAATCTAATGGGATCACCCTCAACACCACAGGGCCAAGAGCATGGTTCGGCACCATATCCACCAAATGCAGGTTACCCAGATCGTTCCGCTAATGTGGCAACACCACCTGCTGTACCGATATATTCAACTCATCCTCCAACGAGGAATCACAATGCTCATCCACAAGCTCACCTAGAGGAGTACGAAACAAGTTATGGCTTGATAAATGGACAGTCTCAAGGACAGCAAGGAGTAACTGTGGTTTCGGGTCCGGCGGTGAGTAGTTATAATCTCTCACCTACCGAATTCAAGAATTCATCGACGGCTGGTTTTTATGCTATCCCACAAAACGCGGGGTATTTTGGTCATCATCAGCAAAGACCAACGCCACCACCGTCTACTTATGACGTTTCCATTAATCGAAGTAGTACTAACTCCCCAAATTTATATAATACTCACGTAAAGACTGAGGACAATACTGCTAGTAACGGTAACGGTTACATACGATCCGGTCAAGGCCTTTATAATCTTGTTTCGGCTGCCGATGTTGTTGGAGGAAGTCCCGCTCAAGGTGGTTCACCTCAACTTATTGGTCAAAAACGTAGCTTCGGTGAAGAAGAAAACGATGATTACAATTCCGTTAATAATTCAAGTCAGCCAAGTCCACCACTTGCTATGCACCCTCCACCTCCATTGAGCAGCATCGCTGTCAGCACTGCTATGAATGTGGCCGCAGGATCTTTCCCAAGTCCAATGCATGTAAGCCCAAACTCATCCCCCGGAAATTCAGCCTTTACTGGATGGAATCATTCCGGTAAACGTGTAAAATACGAACAATTCCCCGAGGCCACAACGCCATCATCCGCTCAATCTTCGCCACGCACAGCTGGATATCAGTTGCCAGTCTTGGGGACTGGGCCAGCGACTCCAGGTGCCAACCCTTCCACTCCACAAGGATATACCAATAGTAATCTTCAAATGGTGACAAATGCACAAGGAAGTCCACATCATTACACATCGGCTTCCAACAATAATGGAGGTCCTGCTACTGGAACGACAACGCCAACCACCGAGGGTTTGGACCGTTATTTCGAACAGAGTACCGTATTACACACTCCATCACCTGATAGCGGTGTTAGTACACCAGCAGAAGAGTCAAACACAATTAGCACTCGACGTTACGAATATCGAAGAGAAGAACCTCCTGCTAACGAAGAACTTGCTGGTAATGGCGGTTGGGAATAAGATTTTTGTCAGTTTTTTTCTTTTGCATTTATATATATATATAAATCTAAGGATGGTCTTTCCTTTTTTTTTTTATCATCAACAGGATTTTAAAAAAAAAATTGAGACAAAAAAATTATAAATTTGTATAGCTCGTGTGCCTTTTTTTTCTTTGCATATTATTTTCTTTCTTTTTGCTTCTTGAAGCTTTTTTTTAAAAAAAAAAAATTCAAAAAAAAATTCAAAAAAAAAAATCAAACAAACATTTTTGCTTTATTCTGCTATTTACTTTTTTTTTTCTTTCTTCTTTAGTATATTTTTTTCTTTTTTTTCTTTTTTTATGCTGTTTCAAACAACACTTCTTTTTTTTTATTACCTCTCGATGGACTTTAGAATCTTTCATGATTTATTTTAGACAAAAAAAAAAAAAAGATAAGAGAGAGGAAAGAGAAAATGGAGTCAAACAAAATATATATTAAAAAAAAAAAAAACTTGTGAGATATCGGATTTAAAATTTTATTTGGGTGGGAACTTTTTTTCTTTACATTTTTTTCAAAGAGTATTAGATTATTTGTACCAACGTAATAGACGCGTTGTATGACTCTGATTTAGTATTCTACTTTCTTTTTATATATAGTCATTTTTCTTTTTCTTTTTCTACTACTATTTTTTTTTCTTTTTCTTCTTTTTCAATTATACAAACAATTCACAAAAAAAAATCAAATAAAATTTGTAAGATAGAGTAAAAAAAATCATATTTTTATTGGTATGCGCGCTTTTTTTTTTTTTTGATTATCAAGTATTTAATGATCGTGATTCAGAAACAGCTAGCGCAAAAAAAAAAAAAAAAAAAGTAATATTTCAAAGGAACAATGATTAATTTCCAAAAATAGGTTTTAGCATAATGAAATCATGGTGGGTGAACTTAAAATTATCAGGTAAATAATATTTAATGCATCTTGTCGAAAATATGTAAGATTCTGTTTGATCGTCTAGACACGACATAATGCCTCGTTGATCCCATATTTTTTTTTTTTTTTTTTTTTTTTTTAAAAAAAAAAAAGAAAATTCACAATTGTAATCATATTATGACGAGTTTGATCCGGTTTATCACTCCTTTATTTGGTTCTTATTAAATTGCATCGTTTTGACATTATTTTATAAATTAACGCGTAATTTGTTTTTTTTTTCACCTTTGATATCGTTGGCGGGGGTTTTTTTTTTGCAACCCCGAAATTTCCGTGGAATTCCGTGGAATAACGACAAACATGAAAAAAAAAATCAAACAACTTCAACTCGTTTGGCGGGAAGATTATCTTCACTGCCGTAATGTTTTTTTTTTCCTCCACAAAATTTCAAAACAATACTGCTATGAAATCTTTTATGCTGTGAGTTTGGCCTGATTTGAATCAAGAAATTTTTATGTCTAACGCATAGTGATGCATAAACTAGTTTTAGGCGGGAAAATTGGGTAAATAAAAAAAAAAATTAATACAACTTCACCTGACAAATTTACCTTATGCATGATGAGCATCAACCACCACGATTTTGCCATAAATGACTATAATAACACGAAAATAAAGAGGCTTCGCTTCACTCTCCAGCAATTAGGTAAAACAAAAAATAAAAATGTTTAGAAAGAAAAAAACCAAGAAGATCGTTAATACCTATTCGCGCGACTTGAAAGAACTTGGCTATTTTATTGACGAAGAAGGGAGACTGAGAACGCTAGAAGGCAAGTTTCAGTGGAGGTTTTTTCTTTCAAGAATTCAAACGTGACTCTTACATTTATCCCCTTTTGACGGTCAATGCAGGTGAACCTTATACATTTGAAGTGAAAAAAGACAGGGAATATAATGAAGGGCTGTACGACACGTTGATAGGTACGCTATAACGAAATGGCAATTGGTTTGATTAAGGGAAAACCTGTTAACCGGTATTACCACAAAATTATGAAATATAGATATTCTTTGTGAGTTGGCAGAAGAAAAGCTTCAGAAGGATTGTGGATTGATTAAAGCGTTGGTACCATTAGGTGCGACAGAAGAGGATATACATAGCAAGATTTTTTTAAGGTGAAGTTCGTGTATATAACCTTTATTTACTCATTTTCGGCATAATTATTAAAATCAAGTTCGTTTGAATCTAGTCAGGATTATATGACAAACGATAAAATGATTATCTTTATCCCTGGAACATCTCACAAGTAAATTGATCAAATTTCTATGATTTTTATAACGGAACTGAAGTTCACATTTTTTTGATCTAAAATAACTTATGAAAAACAGAGTTGGCATTTGGTCGAGAAGAGTGCTCTCGGATTCTTCTGTCATGGTTCGTTAAAGAATCTAGGTGCTTTTTACATTTTGTTATATATTATGGTAAATCTAGTTAACGTTAACATTTGTGACAATTCACAAAAAAAAAAAGGATGGTTCAATGATCACCTACACAAAACGCGCCAGGGAATTGGGATTTGCGGTCGTAATTACGAACCCGAATGAAGTGTTTTGGTATAAGGGTAAAGGAGTAGTACGTATCATATGTTTGTAACCTATGTCGTGGATTTATTGAATCGATCATGTCATGATAACTTGTGTTTTCTAATTCAACACAGTTGATTTTACCAAAAACGAGCGTTACGTTTGATACTATACCCGGAAGTGAATCACCAGAGGCCCATGTGAATTATGTATTTAAAAACTTTGTTATGTAAGGATTTTGTGTTGTTCGTACGTAAACCATCCATCTTTTAGCATTAACTTTCACAATTTTATTTCTGTCTACGGGTGTAGACCTTCCGCTGCGGAAAAAATAGTCGTTGTCGCAAATAGTTATGGAGGTCATTGTGCAGTTGATGCCATTCAAAATAACTGTATGTAACTTATGTCAAAGTTGTTTACCACTATCATTGTCAAACATTACTAACAACCCATCCCAACCTAGTCGATGCTTTGCTTGATAAGATTAAGGCAGTCGAATTTACCGCATCAACTCATTCGATTGATTTTGTCAAATCCGATAAGATGAAAGTTTGGATCCGAGAGGTAAAAAATTAAACTTTATACTTGCGGTACTGTATAATTACAGAACATTAATGCATTGATGAACAATTATAGCGTTGTAGAAATTGGCTCATGTCCGATCAGCCGATCGGTCAAGAAGTCATCGACCCTAGGTTCGGTTGCATTTCGGTCTCATCAGGTAATTAATTATCAAAACGATTTCACCTTATTTTCGATTATGAAAGAATCCTAATAGTAACGAATTTGTAATTGGATCAGGGTCCGAACTGAATGAGTACGTAACTTCCATGGTCATTGATGAGATATTTAACTTCATAGATAAACGAGTGATCAAAGAGATTTGTGATGATGTTGGATCCGATTTGGAAGAAGATCCGGAACTTTTAAGTCGAGAAGCGGACATATTGATTAAAAATGAAGATTCCTATAAAATTTTTTCAGACGATGATGATAAGATTGTATTTGAAGAGGCGGGTCCTGGTTGGTTAAATTAAACTTATGTCATAAATTTTAAACCAAAGATGTACATTATAGAATTTCTTTTTTTACTTCAATTCTGATCTTGTTGTGCAAATTTGTCTTTGTATAAAAAAAAAAAAAAATAAAAAAAAGGTTTGATTTATGATATTATTAGTTTGAGTCTTTACAGTGGCGATCAAAAATAACGCATCACCTAAATGAAAATATTTAAATAAAAATAACTTTTCATATAATGCTCACA